GCAACTGGCAGGAGGCCTTTAGTTGACTCCTGGCTATGAATATAGCCGACGGCAGCGTTAGTCGATACATGTTTAGCGTTTGCGTTACCTGACGCCGGGGAACTTTTAGTATCCTTAGGAGGAAAAATTTTCTCCGCTCCATGTAAGAGCACGTTGTGTGTGCTTTCACAATCTGGCTTGGGGCACTTTCTGGCCTTGCTACAATTACGAAAACTGTGATTGCTCAGTAAACATGAAAAGCAAAGTTTTTGTTTGGCTACATGTTTTGCTCGCTGCGTAGCGTTTTTCTCTTTGAATGCGGCGCAATTCCAAAGAGCGTGTTGACCTTTACATACGGAACATGGAGGGTACTTTGGTTTTTCCTTAGTCTTATTACTTAAATTTGCGTTACTAGCACACACTTTCGTACCTATTTTTGCTTAACTGGTTCTTCAGACTTACTCTTAGAATTGATCGTTTTTAGCCTCTCATGACCCTCCGCTTTTTCTTTAAGCCATTCGTTGAAATCTAGCAGAGTTGGTCTATGCCATTGACGTCTTACGGTTTGCATTGACCATGCCTCCTTAAGGTTCGGGGGAAGCTTACTCACAGCTTGATTCAGTAAGTTAACACTTTCCAGGTCGTCGTTAAAAGACAGGGACTTGAATACGGCAACAAGTCCAGAAATTGCAGAGGAAAATCCCATTACATTTTCCGAGTTATGCATTTTCAGCGGCGGAAAATTACTCAATTTATCTAGATGAGCCCCTACTACAGCATGCGGCTGTCCGAACTTTCTTTGAAGAGTTGCTAATGCGTTTTTATATAGTACTCCGCTATAGCTATACTCAGCGATTCCGGCTTTTGCTTTACCCACTACGAGCGTTTTCAGATAGGTAAGCTTTTCATCGTTACTGAGTATGGCTGAATCGACCGTCGATTTGAATTGCCCAAACCACTCATTCCAATTAAGTGGGTTGCCATCGAACTGGGTCAGCTTCCACTCAGGGAGATGATCTTTTCGGCTGTGCATGAGCATATTAACCAACTCTCGTGTCGAAAGTGGACGCTCGATGTCTGCACCAGGTGAATTATTGGGAGTTGGCTCTGTGTAACTCAAAGAGTTACCGTGACAATCAGGAACGAACGGTTGATTAGCATGTGAAGAATTTTCAGGCTGTGCAAAGAACACAGTCCCTCCACTTGTATAAGGAACAAAATTATTCGGAGGAACAATCGGAGTTACTGCGGAAAAAACAGTTGTCGAAGGAACGTAGTGCTGTTGAGTTGACATTAAAGAGGCAGCAACAGCTGGTCTCCACAAATTTATTATAAGGATTGTAGTGGTCACTTAAATAGTTATAACTACTAACGGGAACACCCATATGTTGTTGTGATGGGGCTACAGGTGCTTGGTAGCCAGCTACTATTGATCCTGCAGTGTGATGACTTAAAGAAACCTGATTAACTGCTGTTGATGCAGGAACGAACGGTGCTACACCAGAAGGAACTTCTGCAGATGTTGTCGGAGCAAAATAATTTTCAGAAGTTACCGGGACTAATGACCCTGTGTTTGGGTTGCCTAGCACCGGATGAGTGGACAGAAAAGTTTGCTGAGTCAAATTATTAGAAACAGGTTGAATGACCTGCTGTAACCCTACTGGATTGTTAACGGAAACCTGCGATCGGACCCAATTCGACAAATTATGTTGTTGTTCGTGAATGTGCTTACTGTAAAACAATCCCGGATCACTAGAAGCTGCCTGGCCATTATTCACTCCTGTAAAACTTGATGAGACCAAGTAATTTGTTGATGCAGGATAAGTTGCCTCAGGAGCTGTTGAACAAACGTGCTGCTCTTGATTGGGAACTACCACAGCATTAGGCTGATTGTGGTCGACAGATTCGACCCAGTGACGCGTACGATCCTTTTCGTCTATTGTTAGTTGTGGAGAGATTCGAGTTAAACCACTTTCCTCAGCATTCTCGCTGATTTCCGACAACTCAACTTCTCACTCAAGCCCTTTCAACTCATTTTCTGCCAGTTTTTTCCTGTGTTCTTCAGCCAATTCTTCCAATTCTAAACGGCTTTGTTGTTCTTTCAGTCTTAATGATACCTTTGCCTGCCTCTCAAGTTCCTCTTGTTGTTTCTTTAAAATCATTAAATCGCGCTTTTTATCAGAAAGTGTTTTCGACGGAGCGGCGGTATAACTAGATTTCTGTGAACCCGATTGCTGATGTCGGCTGCTTCGATGCGACAACTTAGAGCGGGTATCTGTTTTATGCGACTGGGGTTTTTCACTTTTTTCAGAACGACGAGAAACTTTTGAGCTGCTATCTATTTTGTCCGGCTCTGTTACTGCCTCAAAACTTGTTTTATATGTGATAGCTTCCTGCAGAACTTTATCGTTGCTTTGAGTCAACTTATGAAGCCACATATCCTGTGCCGGTATCAATTCGTCGGGATTGGCACTTTTTGCAGCCATATCAATCAACTCAGTATTTATCTCGACCGCTTGTTCTATATAGTTCCTACATTTTTCAATATAAGTATCAATTTTTGAGCAACGACTCTGACTCTCTATGTGGCATTTATAATTATTTCGTGGCATTTATAAAGTTCGTTTTCGAGATTGCTACGTTTCTCGAACAACTTCTTAATTTTCTTTTGAAACTTAACTTCCATGCTTAATAATTTCAGAAATAAACGACTCTCAGAAAATACTGTATTTTCACTCAAGTAAATCCACAAAGTATTTTTACCTGGCGTTAAAGTTAAAGCTTAAACCGGGCTTTGTGAAACAAGTCGCTTTCACGCGCTTTTGAGACAGCGCGGATAGTATACGGAGCGCGTGGTCTAGAGAACTAGCTCCTAGAATGAATACCATATACTTAAGAGACCTATGCGACGGCTACGTTACGCTAAAGTACCAATTGGGTGGGAAATAAGTAGGTCGGTTGAACTCCGACAACGCACACGGAGTAAACCTGAGGATGAAAGAATTCAACTTAACTCACTTAATATCACCGTACCTGACCACTTAATATTAGTCTCGCGCAACGAAGTCAATACTCGGACGGGATGAAACGGTTTATATTTACTCGAAGCGAACTGGCTTTCAGTTTCACCAATGTGGGTGCGGGATCAGGCAAATTGGTTAAGTTCGAACAACACACGCGGAAAAAACCTGAGGATGAAAAAACTCAACTTTATTTGCCTGATATTTCGCTACCAGACCACTTACCATAAGGTTGGTGTCAAGTTACAGCACAGTTTCGCAGAATTATGGGGACGTTTTGAGGAACTTTTGGCTATTTTTTACTTTTTTCCCAAAATTTTTCGGAAAATTTTGGTCAGCAGGTTCGAGTCGTAAACCAATCCAAAAAACTAGTCTAGTACCCCTTGTCTATGATCCAATTTTTTGGATTTTCAATCCGTTCACAATTACCCAAAAATTTGTGGTATCGGGAAAATTACCACTTGTAGCTTGCTTTGAGTTGGGATACAAAATAAGGCATCGTATGTAATTTTATTGCAAAGAATGGTTTATAAAAACTAGATTACGGGTAATTTTCCTGTAATTCCGATAGTTTTTTTTTCAACCGCAAATTGATTTTCGTATTCAAACAAACATCTTTTGAAAAACAACTTTTGCAAAAAAAAATTTAATTTTTTGTGTGTATAACGTAGTCCTGGATATACTAATATTGGATTTTTTCTCATTTTCTCTTCATAATTTTATCAAAAACGCTTAAAACTCCTCTTTCCTTAGTATGACATGTTTTTGTATGCCTTGATCAATGTCTGGTAATTTAGAAATTCAAATTTTAGAAATAATCATCTTTGAAAATTATTGCCAAAATTTAAAAGTTCATTACTTTTGTTATATTATTTGTCTGAAACAGAAGTAACACATATCAGACTGTTTGCAATGCATTTTTAATGCGAGACCGCCAAACCGTTGGTTACTACGTTTGAGTAATCAAGGTTTATGTCATTTGTGTTCGGTCACGAACACAGCCAAAAATTTTTGAGAAATTAAAATGTAACAAATCAATATTTTTGTTTTATGGAAAAATGCTAGTCATACAACTTCCATATTTGAAAAAATACTAATCATAGACCTTTCATGCAATTTTCTGTACGTATGGAATTGTATGGAAAGTGTATGACTAGCATTTTTCCATATATGGAAATTGTATGACTAGTATTTTTGGTCATCCCGGGAATACGTTACCAATCAAAATATATCATTTTACTTGCACCAGCTTTAGTGGGAATAAATTGATTAATTTCAAAATGAAAGCAAGAACGCTCGCCTCAGTTTTGAGAGAGCTCAAGAAAATCATATTTGGCGACCTTCAATTTTTTTTCAAAAATGCCTTTCCCTCGAGGATGAATCGAAAAAGAAAACAAAAACCTTCAAATACAAAAAACGATGCTAAAATTTTTTATGAATCCTTTCCACGCATAAAAAATTAAATACAAAGTGATTTCTTTCGCATATAGCGAAGTATTAAGTAGAATAAATTGCATGCTTCAATCTAATTTGGAACGATTTCTAAGAAGAGCAAGTTGCCATTCACGCTCCAATTTGATCAGAAGTAAGAAGTCTTATTAAATTTGAGCTTCAGATAACAATATTTTTTGATGATATACTGAAAAGGCCGTCAAAAATGCCTAGTCAAACTTAGTCTTAAGAAAAAATCACCCCCACTACAAATATTTCATCTTTTCCTTCGAAAGTCGGATAAAGAAAATCTTCATTGGTTTTTAATAGTTGATTGTCCTCGCTTTTATTCACCCTCAAATGTGTGATTCAAATTTGCTAAAGTTATACTCAAAGGCGATACTAGAAACTGATGCAAGTTTGACCGTTCATCCCATTTTCCCCCTAAAACTGTTCTTCTGCTTCTAACAATTGACTGGTTAAAAAACCTCATGCGATTGTCGAAAATAGGATTTTATGGAGTATCTATTGGAAAATGAACGTTAGTAAGAGATGCTGATATATGTTTAGGATGGATGGACACCTCCTAACGACGCTGGTTTCTGGCAGACGTTCGCAGGTAAGTTTTTTCAAAACCCGATGAAAACAGGGCTATTTTAACGCCCACCTACAAAGCAGTTTGTGTCGGAGGACGTTAACCTAATCTCTAGTTTCCCTCTGAACCCAGTTTTTGATCCAATTTTGATGTAAAAGGCAAATTAGGTCTTGATAATTTGACGCGAGACGCTTAACATCCCTTTGTCTTTTTAGAAACGTGTGGTTGGATTAAAAAAAGATCAAAATGAACAAAAAATGATTATTTTTGGTACATTTTTTAACGATCATTTAACTGGTTTTTTTTAGCAATTTTTCTAAGTTTTAATTAGCAGCTGTATATACGAGTATTATTTTTTTAAAGTTGTGGTTTGGTTTTAAAAAAATTATTGGGGTTTAATACCTTGTTGATTTAACCCATGTCCAAAATACCACCTGGTTTTGGACAAGAAATTCGATATATAAGTCGAGCACAGTCAAAACATACCCAACTTTGGTCGGCCGAGAAAGTCGAAACATAAATCGAACGCAGTCGAAAAATACCCAATTTTGGTCAAGAAAGTCAAAACATATGTCAAGCCTAGTCAAAAAACACCCAAAATTGGTTTAAAAAAAGTAGAAAAACTAGTCGAGCAGAGTCAAATCATCCGATTTCAGACGAGAAAGTTGACTCATAAGTCGAGCAAAATCGATACATAAGTCGAGCACATTCGAAACTGTTTTGGCCGAGAAAGTCGAAGCATAGGTAGAAGACAGTCGCAGAGCAGAATAGTTAATTTGGTAGAATGTTATAGTATAGAATGACAAGGGGTAATATTTTACAATAGGTGGTACATTTTCAGGTGGTTAGATTGAAAAAAGATAAAAATGAACAAAAAATGATTACTTTGGTTCATTTTTTAACAATCATTTCATTGGTTTTTTAGCAATTTTCTAAGTTTTATTTAGCATTTGTATATACGAGTATTATTTTTTTAAACTTGTGGTTTGGTTTTTAAAAAACTATTGGGGTATAATACCTTGTTGATTTAACCAATGTCCAAAATACCACCTGGTTTTGGACAAGAAATTCGATATATAAGTCGAGCACAGTCAAAACATACCCAACTTTGGTCGGCCGAGAAAGTCGAAACATAAATCGAACGCAGTCGAAAAATACCCAATTTTGGTCAAGAAAGTCAAAACATATGTCAAGCCTAGTCAAAAAACACCCAAAATTGGTTTAAAAAAAGTAGAAAAACTAGTCGAGCAGAGTCAAATCATCCGATTTCAGACGAGAAAGTTGACTCATAAGTCGAGCAAAATCGATACATAAGTCGAGCACATTCGAAACTGTTTTGGCCGAGAAAGTCGAAGCATAGGTAGAAGACAGTCGCAGAGCAGAATAGTTAATTTGGTAGAATGTTATAGTATAGAATGACAAGGGGTAATATTTTACAATAGGTGGTACATTTTCAGGTGGTTAGATTGAAAAAAGATAAAAATGAACAAAAAATGATTACTTTGGTTCATTTTTTAACAACCATTTCATTGGTTTTTTAGCAATTTGCTAAGTTTTATTTAGCATTTGTATATACGAGTATTATTTTTTTAAAATTGTGGTTTGGTTTTTAAAAAACTATTGGGGTTTAATACCTTGTTGATTTAACCAATGTCCAAAATACCACCTGGTTTCGGACAAGAAAGTCGATATATAAGTCGAGCACAGTCAAAACGTACCCAACTTTGGTCGGCCGAGAAAGTCGAAACATAAATCGAACGCAGTCAAAAAATACCCAATTTTGGTCAAGAAAGTCAAAACATATGTCAAGCCTAGTCAAAAAACATCCAAAATTGGTTTAAAAAAAGTAGAAAAACTAGTCGAGCAGAGTCAAATCATCCAATTTCAGACGAGAAAGTTGACTCATAAGTCGAGCAAAATTGATACATAAGTTGAGCACATTCGAAACTGTTTTGGCCGAGAAAGTCGAAGCATAGGTAGAAGACAGTCGCAGAGCAGAATAGTTAATTTGGTAGAATGTTATAGTATAGAATGACAAGGGGTAATATTTTACAATAGGTGGTACATTTTCAGGTGGTTAGATTGAAAAAAGATAAAAATGAACAAAAAATGATTACTTTGGTTCATTTTTTAACAACCATTTCATTGGTTTTTTAGCAATTTTCTAAGTTTTATTTAGCATTTGTATATACGAGTATTATTTTTTTAAAGTTGTGGTTTGGTTTTAAAAAAATTATTGGGGTTTAATACCTTGTTGATTTAACCCATGTCCAAAATACCACCTGGTTTTGGACAAGAAATTCGATATATAAGTCGAGCACAGTCAAAACATACCCAACTTTGGTCGGCCGAGAAAGTCGAAACATAAATCGAACGCAGTCGAGAAATACCCAATTTTGGTCAAGAAAGTCAAAACTTATGTCAAGCCTAGTCAAAAAACACCCAAAATTGGTTTAAAAAAAGTAGAAAAACTAGTCGAGCAGAGTCAAATCATCCGATTTCAGACGAGAAAGTTGACTCATAAGTCGAGCAAAATCGATACATAAGTCGAGCACATTCGAAACTGTTTTGGCCGAGAAAGTCGAAGCATAGGTAGAAGACAGTCGCAGAGCAGAATAGTTAATTTGGTAGAATGTTATAGTATAGAATGACAAGGGGTAATATTTTACAATGGGTGGTACATTTTCAGGTGGTTAGATTGAAAAAAGATAAAAATGAACAAAAAATGATTACTTTGGTTCATTTTTTAGCAATCATTTCATTGGTTTTTTAGCAATTTTCTAAGTTTTATTTAGCATTTGTATATACGAGTATTGTTTTTTTAAAGTTGTGGTTTGGTTTTAAAAAAATTATTGGGGTTTAATACCTTGTTGATTTAACCCATGTCCAAAATACCACCTGGTTTTGGACAAGAAATTCGATATATAAGTCGAGCACAGTCAAAACATACCCAACTTTGGTCGGCCGAGAAAGTCGAAACATAAATCGAACGCAGTCGAAAAATACCCAATTTTGGTCAAGAAAGTCAAAACATATGTCAAGCCTAGTCAAAAAACACCCGAATTTGGTTTAAAAAAAGTAGAAAAACTAGTCGAGCAGAGTCAAATCATCCGATTTCAGACGAGAAAGTTGACTCATAAGTCGAGCAAAATCGATACATAAGTCGAGCACATTCGAAACTGTTTTGGCCGAGAAAGTCGAAGCATAGGTAGAAGACAGTCGCAGAGCAGAATAGTTAATTTGGTAGAATGTTATAGTATAGAATGACAAGGGGTAATATTTTACAATAGGTGGTACATTTTTATGGTTGAGAAAGTCAAAGCATAGGTAGAAGACAGTCGCAGAGCAGATTAGTTAATTTGACAGAATGTTATAGTATAGAATGACAAGGGGTAATATTTTACAATAGTTGGCAATTTTAAAATAACTAGCCGCATGGCTCTTTGTTATACTTCGAACGGTATTTGTAATTTTTTTTTCAAAAGGCAAATTTTTTGGTAAAAGAATTGTAAAATTTAAACATTTGAATAACATTTCATTTGACTAGAGTAATGTCATTACAAAATCTTATTAGCATGTACATTTAATTGAGAATGAAATGAGTATATTATGCAGTAGTCTACGAATTTAGTACATTCACTATTCTCAAATAGTTCTAAAAATTACCACCTTTTGAAACATATCACCTTACAGATACATGAGAGAGAGTATAGTGTCCTGCTACTTTGAGTTAGCCATAGTTGAAAAGTTTTCTCAAGCCACATAGGTAACGCGTTGCAACAGTTGTTGCCATGAGAAGCTGACCCTCCATTCATATTCAAGCCCAAGAACGTGAAATTTTTTCAAATGGTTTTACTCTCGGGTTGACCAAAACTTCCTATCATACAATTTCCATATATGAGAAACTTCTTGTCATACAATTTCATACAATTCCATACGTACAGAAAATTGTATGAAATCTCTATGATTAGCATTTTTCCATATATGAAATTTGTATGATAAGTGTTTTTCCATAAACCAAAAATTTGATTTTTTGTTTCTTAATTTAATTTTTGAAAAGTTTTGGGTTGTGATTGTAACCGAACACAAGTGACAAAAACCCTGGTTTACTCAAAGCACAAAAGGTTGAACGGTCTTGCATTCACAATGGAAAAATGACCTGAGATGTCTTAGAGATGTCTTTCACAAATGATTTAACGAAAGTAACAAACTTTTAAAATTTGGCAAAACTTTTCAACGATGATTTAAATTATCAGAATTTGATCAAGGCATACATAAAAACGCCATACAAAAAATAGTATTTTTCAGCGTTTTTGAGAAAAGATATACAGCGAAAAGAAAAAAAATCAACATTATTGTATCCAGGACTACTTATGCATGCAAGAAAGTTTTTATATTGGAAAATGTTTGCTTGCGTACAAAATTCGATGTGCAGTTAAAGAAAAAACAAAAAACAATTGGGGTCTTTCAAAAAATATTTGACAAATTTTTCTGTCGCTATCAAAAAAATGCTAGTCATACAATTTCCATATATGGGAATTATATGGTAGGCATTTTTTTTTCAAAAACGAAAACCTCTGTTTTTTATCACCAGACTGTTTTATCTTGTTCAAATAGCCGCAGAAACTAGTTGGAAAATATTTTTAATTATTTTTTGAAATTGGATGAAAATTGTATGAATTTTTCCATACATTTGATGTATAGAAATGTATGATAAGCATTTTCGGTGTATGGAGTTCAACCCGGGATAAAAGTCATAAATTCCCTAGTCGATCAAGGAAGGATATCTTGGACGATTTTGCAAATGAGGGTTTCCTTGGCATGTCTTGCAAGATAGAGGTTTTCTTGCAAAGTCTTATAAGAGTGAGGTTATCTTGCAAGAATCTTGCAAGATTCTTAAAAGATCTTGCAAGACAAACTTCTGGAAAAAGATATTAAAAATCATTCCAAAAAACACTATGAAGATCCAGTTTGAGAACGGTAACCAAAAAAATTAAGCTTATGTTTGGTTAAACGAATAAATT